TCTAGGTGGCCAAAAATGGACTTAGTTCCTTCAACATTCACACTAAGATTAATGGCTTACAACAGTGGTTCTCAACCTTCCTCAGGCCATGACCCTTTCATACAGTTCCTCATGGTGTGGTGACCCCACAACCAGAAAATTATTTTCGTTGCTACTTCTTAACTGTAATTTTGCTACTGTTATGAATCAGGCAACCCCTGTGAAAGGGTCGTTTGACCCCCAAAGGGGTTGTGACCCACAGGTTGAGAACTGCTGGCTTAGAATGATTCATTAAAGTTATGTGATTTTGGTCCAAGGTCAAGAAGATAGTACAAATCTGTTGAAGACACTACAAAGGTTTGAAACATCTGGGCAGAAGAAATTTCTCAATGTTCTTGACATACAAACTGAGAGGGTAGGATTAATATCCAATATTGAAAGTCCCTGGGCTGATGCTTACAATCAGGCCCTCGATTTTAAATGCACATACTTGAGAGTTTTCACATACTATGTGACTGGGAAAGAGAAAATAGATTCCCAGTCTTCAAATGGAAGCCAACCAACAAACAAAAACACTCTTTAATGGATATATTCTCTTCGGGGAAAGAAAAAGCTACACTTCTCTCTGACCTATTAATACATGTGTTATGCTGGAGGAAAGCATCCCATGAGAAGGATATCCGCTGGTAGGAGAAAGAGTGGTTATAACTAGACTTTATTTTAAATTCCATAACTATAAAAATACTGCCTAAAATACCAGCCATCCAGCAACCAACTGTCTTTGCTGAGTAATGGGCAGCTATTCTAACCTCTAATGACTCATGCCGGGTGCCTGTCTTAAACCGGTCCGGGCCTTCAGCCTGGTGCATTCCAAGGCTGGTAGGCGGTTCATTAAGCATATCGCCCTCAGCATTTTCACATTAAAACATCTCTGAACCAGTCTCAATTCTGCCATCTAAAAAAAATTAGTGGGGAATTTTATTTTTCAAGTGTCCATAGAAACCCAGCAAGAGTGTTAAACTTTTCTGCCCATTTTTGGCTCATGAGTAGATATCCATGATGGCATAAAATAGTTTCCTTGGTGACATATTTAGCTACTGTAGCAAAAAAAGAAAGTTTAAATGAAAAAAAAAA